GAAGGAAGGAAGGAAGGAAGGAAGGAAGGAAGGAAGGAAGGAAGGAAGGAAGGAAGGAAGGAGATATCGCGTGGAAAGTGCATGGCACCCTGTTCTCTGTTTTCACCTGTTTCAGTATTGTTCATCGTGGTTTATTTTGACATTGTTGGCATTAATGTTATCTCGTGGTCTCCGGCTCACAGCAGTCCCATGAACAACACATGGGGCAGTGCCTGGTTCTGTGCCAGCCTTACAATTCCTGCTGTGCTGGAGCCCATTGTTGTGGCCATTATGCCAATCATCTCCCCGAGGGTCTCCCTTTGCTTTCTGGCCCTCTCCTTTGACCAAGCACGCTGTCGTTCTTCAGGGACTGCTCTCACGAGTCACATGACCACAGTGCAGGAGACAGTCTCGCCGTCCTTCCTTCTAAGGAGCATTCTGGCTGTACCTCTTCCGGGATGGATTTAGTCACTGTTCCGGTCATTCACAGGAGATCTAAGATTCTTTGCCGATTCAGAGGCATCAGTTCTTCTGTGTTCTTCCTTGGTCACTGACCAGCTTCCACATGGCTATTGGGTGACTGAAAATACCTTGGCAGAAGCCAAGCCTTAAAATGCCTTAGTCTTCAGGGTGAAATTTTCACGTTTTAACACTTTAAAGAGGTCTTTTGCAGCTGATTTGCCCAATGTCATATGTCCTTTGATTTCTTGACAGCTGCTTCCATGGGCACTGATGGTGGAGCTAAGTAAAATGAAATCTTTGACAACTTCAACCTTCATTGTAAACCACAGGGTCTGCTTGTCATGCTTGGACTACTGCCTCTTGGTCTGCGTACTTTTTTTTTTTCTTTTTTTTGCATTACCATATAATAACAGTTTAAACCCTAACCACTAGGTTTGGTGCCTCTCCACACTTGAAGTTCTTTCTGCCTCCTTCCCCCTCCTTCACCTGACCTCGCCTAAACCCCCACTACCATGCGCACACACACCCCATACTTTTTCTGTTGCCTGCTTAGAGTTACAGGTGCAGAGTCCTCTGGTCAGATCGATTGCCTATGACTTATAATCTGCAGGGAACAGGAAGGAAGTCAGGCTGTGCACACACATTGGTGCCCATGTGTGTTACTTGTCAGCCCAGATTTTTATAGAGAGCCCTTCAGTGGATATAGGCAAAGAACGTTTTCAACCCGAGGAAAGGGAAACGCTGGCAGCACAATCACCTCACTCAATGAGGGACTGAACAAAGCTCACCCCCCCCCCAATGATTGCCGGTCGGGGAAGCTCACGAAGCAAACGCCGATTGGCATGGGAGAAATCTAGACTCCTCACAAGTGTGCTGTTGGAAACACCCAGGGGGCTTCTTTGAGGTCCTTTACGTGGGGTCATACCATAGTTGGACATGACCCTGCAGTGCATGCTTGTGGGCCCTGCCCAGCTGCCTGACACCTCGATGTCTGAGGGAAGGGACGGTATTGCCCCAGTGCTGAGGCTCACCAAGCAGGACTTATCGCAGGGGAGCTGCTGCTTCCATTCTAAGTTGTAAATGCCTCACTGAAAAGTAAATGCCAAGCTCTCCATTGAAACCGTCTTTGAAATGTCAAGCTAAAAGCAATGGCAGGTGTTACACTGGTGGCGTTCTTGTGAAGAGTGTATTAAGGGGGGTCTTTCCTGCCTTGCCTTCCTTCTGCTGGACTCTGTGTGTGATCAGTTTTCACTGTCACTTATGCTGGTCTGAAGGCTCCCAGAGAGCTCTGTCCGTAGCCTGGTAGTGTCAGGCAAGAGCACGCAGAAACGATCCTGATGAACACAAACCCCAAACTGACGATCCAGATTCATCAGCCCTTTCAGACCCAGAGGAAGTGCTGAACCACTGTGTGGGACTCCTGCTCCGGGAGCTGTTCCCTGAACGGAAAGTAAAAGATCCAGACGGTGAAAGTTCGGGATGGTTTAGAGAGGACTGAAAGTAAACTGCCCTCATGGCGAGAAGCTTGTTCTCCCAACAGCATCTCAGGAGGAAGTTGTAGCGTAGTGATGGCCGCGAGAGTCTGGGAAACTTATTTTTTCACTCCTGGTCAGAGAAGCCACTCCCTGGTTATGAGGTCAAGGTCGCAGCACCTGGGAGCTGCAGGGAGACCGGAGTGGGAAACCAGCAACTGCAGGCCTCCGCCACCCTGCAGGAAACAAAAGGAAGCTCTTACTCTACTGAGAGCCCAGGGAAGGTGATGGTCTTGGAAGACTTCAGATGGCCGAGCAGTGGCTGGGTGAGCGAACAGCAAGAACAGCCAGGAACCCCTGAAGAAGGAATCAAAGGGGAAAGCGCTGGACCAGAAAAGGCTCTGTGAGGGGATTCAGAAGGAGCCTACAGCTCAAGGCTTAGTCGATAATAGTTTATTCTATAGACCACGACATTCAATGATGTGATTTTCTCTTTAGAGTGTTTCTCAGCAAACCATCTCCTTCAAAGAGCAATAACAGCATAATACGATTGTCATTAAGGCCAGTGTTTGAGAGGCATAAACCCCCCGGCCTTGTATTCAGATCATGGAGTTAGAGATGGACAGAGCCCCCGGAGTCAGCAAGAGCATTTTCTCAGGCTGTCCCCTCCTCCGCACTGCCTGATTCCCTCCCATGCCCCCACCCCCCCATGGCCATCAGACTAGCTTCCCTAGCCAATGGCCCTGATCTAGTCACTCCATGGGCGGAAGTCTTTCGTTTGCACACTTGCACTTCAAAATAAAGCCCAGAAGGTTGTCTGCGACTGGATCGATCTCTCTCTCCTTCTCTCCATGGACCTCTCACCCCCTGCCTTGCCCCCCCCACCCCTGCCCCCATATTACTGGGAATTCCCCAAACCTGCCCTTCCCTTTCAAACTGCCTTTCCTATTGCCAGCACGCTCCCCCCCTGTGCACCCTCCCCTGCTTGTAGACGCAACTCTCCAGGGAACCTCTCCTGGTCCCCTTCCATGGCTTCGCATCAGCTGCCCCAAACCCTGTGCTACCTGTCATACTGGGTGACTCGTCCTTGTCTTGTGTACGTGACGTCTCTTCTCACCCCACTTCTACACACGTACAGCACCTGAATCTTAGTGTCCCTGTTTGCCAGGTTGCTAATACGAAGTACCTGCTCCGTTAGTATTTGCTGAACCGATGGGTGAATGAATGAGCGAGCGAGCAGTGAGCACCTCTGGTGTCATTGTGGAAATCACAGGTGACTGCAGCTCTGCCTATGGGCTGGAGCCGGCGCGGCACTTGTCAGTGACAGCAGATGTCAGAGACCGTCCATGGTTGTTGGTTGCTTCTTGGACACTTTTTGCTTATTTTTTTGATCACTGTGTGTTTTTCTGAATATCAGTTTTCACCAATTAGAACATAGCTGTTTTTCAACGAAGCACAGCTGCCTGGGTAAACAAGCACATCCACAGTCGACAGCACTCAAACCATTCGTGGGACAATAAAATGAAAAGACGGTGGGATTCCCCCCCCCCACCCCCCACAAACGTTTTGAAGCAGTGTGTGTGTATGTGTGTGTTTGTGCATGTGCAGGTGTAACTAGATAGCCAGCTCGGGTCTCGGGGATGCCTAAAAAGGGACTGTCCCACGCCGCCTGTGTGCTGTCCCCAAAGCCAGCAGCCCCTGCCTGCCTCAGGGCAGCGATCCCATTTCATCTGCCACATTGGAAATCCTTTGAAGTCCTCGTGCATCCGATCCATCTGCACGTGCGTTCAACAAATATGTCCCCATATGCGTACCAGGTGCCTGAATGAAAACTCTTAGGTGTTTAATAAGTGGTCACTTAGTGACTGAGTCTCAGTAGCTCACCTCCTTATCCTCACTTGCCTTCGTCCAGATCCAGTGTCCAGACCCACCTGTGCTGGTGAGGCCTCGGCATGAGTTATTGATGCTCTTTAACTCGGGATCTCCCTATGTGGGTGTCTGTCCATCAGGTGCCTCTTGGTCGCCTCCTGTGAACCGTGACAGCTCACAGCCACGAGGTAATGCATTTGAGGGGGGGCCGTGCACCCAGGCAAGGGTGCTGCCTTTCCAAGCATCACAGGCAGCTGAGGACGGATCTGTGTGGAGAGGGTCCTGAAAAACGTGTCTTCTCCTGTCTTTTAGCTCACGTTTTACTATGGCACTATAGATCACTGGTGTCCGATCGAGTTCTACAATGACTTGAAGAAGGATTTCCCGGAAGGAGACATCCGGCTGTGTGAGAAGAAAATGCGGCATGACTTCATCCTGAGGTGGAGTCAGGAGATGGCGGAATTGGTGGCTGACTGGCTGAAGGCGGACCTCTCCAAAATATAAGCCCCAATCGGGGGTACAGGCATCTGCAGCCAGTCCAGAGAAGCGGTGGGCTTGCTGCCCTTGGTAAATGACACACGTCATCTGTTGTTTGGTTTTAGAGAAGAAAACGAGAACTTCTTGGCTCAGCCATAAAACCCTGACCCCCCACCACCACCCACCTTGTCGGTCTAAGTAAACACAATAGAAGAATCATTCCATAGACTTTAGACATTTTCTACGACGCAGGGAATTCACCAATCGTATCTAAACAGGGACTCTTATGTGTGCAGGAGATGCCAACCTACTGCAAATTGTGGTTTATTGGGGTAGAATGCGTGCAGACATAATGAAACCTGAGTCCAGCTGATTCTGGAGGAAGAATTATGAAATACCTCCTGGAAAGTGTACACAAGACCAGTGAGTCTGAATACACAGATGTTGAAGGGGACAAGATCCTAAGAAAGGAGCCCTTGAGTTTCAGTAGCAGGAAATGTGAGCACTGGGTCTCACTTTTGGACCAGAGTCTCCTTTAGGGATGGAAACTGAAGATCAGCCCAGATGTACTTTGCACAGGTCTTGACGGTGCCGGAGGCCTTGCAGCACCCCACAGACCACTGACGCTTTTTTCTGGCCACCAGTGGCAGGCCCAGCATCGAGGGGGGCACTGCTTGTCTCCAGATGTGCAGCGCTTCTGAGGAGTGGCACACCTCCGTCCGACACACAGTACAATTCGCCACACGGCAAGCTGGCCACCTAACCAACCGTAACTTTGCCTCTGGCCCCAAGACAGGCCATAAGCTCTGTGCTGACCCTCTCTCTGCCTGCCAGGTCCTGTGCTCCCTGCAGGCCCCACTCCTCCCAAACCAGGGTGGAAGCATGGGCTGTCCCAAGCCTGTAATGTGGCAGCTGCACCAACAACGTGCTCCCACTATAATCCTTTCAGTTAAAAGCCATTGAGCACTAGCATTAGCCAGGTTCTGGGCTAGGCACTGAGGATAGAGTTTTTAGCTACTTTGTTGTCTCTGAAAAGCTTGTGTGAAAAGGCATCTTTCAAAGGCTAAGTAGAGTCATCATAAATCAATTCTGCATTTCTGCATTAATTTATTAGGTGGAAATAAATTAATGAACCGAAACAAGCCATTACATTATGTGAATCACCCCCACCGTGTTTCCCCCGCCCCCCTTCTCCGTCAAGTCACCTTGAAGTCTGGTGGGAGAGAAACGTGTTCTCTGGCCTACTACACGGGCTAACAAAGTTGCTAAAGCTGCTGCCTTCCCCAAACTGGCTCAGTTCAGGGAATTCCAGAGCCACAGGCTAAAGCTCGGTCTGACTGCAGTGACAGATGGCTGTCAATCAGAAGCATTCTGCATTCTCCTAGAGGAGGTCTTCGTGATGTTGTTTTTCCTTAAGGACAGTGGGATGGTGGACTTTCTCTCAAGACCTACAACTTCCTGATCAAAGAGTCCACTCGGATAACTACCGTGGTGATGAGCAGTGATGTCGGTGTGCTGGCTTCTCCTCCAAGCCAATGACTGCTGGGGGAGGAGCCACGATCCCAGGTGGAGTGCACAGGGCCCATAGGAGGCAGGGGGCGCAGCCGCCACAGGCGCAGGGCTGCATACAACCACCTTGGTGGCGTCTGCCTACAGAAGAGCTGACCTAGGAGCTAGACCCTCACGGAGATGAAGGGTGTTAAACTAATACATACCAGGTAAATCACCCCTACTGGAATAAATAGTACCAGTCTCAGCATTTTTTTTGCCATTTTAGGGTAACAATTCTCCATATTACAAAAGTCCAGGTATAGGTTTTGTTTTGAGCTTAAAGATTCCGTTCTTCTCTTTCTTATCATCCAAACACCAAATTGATGGAATAAATGTCGTACTGGCACGTCTGTCCTTGCTTGGCCTGACTGCTGTGCGTGTTTGTGTGTCTGCGTGTGTATTGGTGTGTTGGGAGGAGCGAGAGGACAGTTTGAGCCGCTGTCCTAAGGGGCACTCGCGTCAAAGTCTCCCCATTAACCTGAAAAGGCGCTTTCTTGGTGATGCTTTTAGAACTGGAAGAACCCCAGTTCAGGGGGCTGAAGTTCATTGAATGTCACTAGGAGTGAAACAGAAGACCCCATGCTGGCACAGTGGATGACACCCGTTTCCAGAAGCATTGCTGCCTGCCCTAGTCAGCCACGGGGATAGTCCCTGTCGGAAGCTTTCACTTCCTAGAGGGTCTTCGGGTGCTGACTGGAAAGCAGAAGCTGGCTCAATAACTCCTGCCCTCAGTTGCCCACCTGCTCTGGGCAGTTGAGAGAATCTCCCTCCGAATCCAACCCCTAGGGCTCCCATGGTTTCATGCCCAACTCTGTGAGGCCCCTTTCTTCAAAAGCCAGTGACTTCCTAATACAGTTCAGGGTTCAGGCCTTTGTTTTCCTGCTACACTATATAAGTAGTATATATATACCATATATAATACAAACACACATGTATCACATATATTGTGTTAGTCTGGGTTGACTAGAGAAATTCATAGACACTCGTGTGTAAGAGAACTTTAATATCAAAGAGCAGTTGTACATTAAGAAAACATCCCAGTCCAGATCAAGTCCATAAGTCCAATATTACCCCATATGTCGATACTAGTCCATAAATTCCTCTTTAGACTCGTGCAGCCATGCAATGACACCGAATGCAGGAAGATCACAGGCCAGTAGGTGGAAAGTCTTGTGGATCCAGTGGTGGTAGAAGCATCTCAGTGCTGTCGTGGGTTTCCATGTGGCTCCTCCAGCTCCAGGGCTCTGGCTCCATCAGCGTATCTCCATGTGGCTTGTCAACAGGACTGTCTCACAGGGAGTGAGTGTATCTGGCCTCCAGTGAGCTTTTTGTCTCCATAGCACCTCCAGATGAGGTCATCAAGCTGACCACTCAAGTTGACACTAGATTATGTAACTACCACATATATACATACAAGGTGTACCAAACAAACAGAATACTGGCCCCGCTCAAAGCTATGTATTTAAATTTTTTTGACAAAACAATCTGATGACCTTCAAAGTACTCTCCATTACACTTAATACATTTGTCAAATCTGCAATTCCATTCTTGGAAACATTTTTCAAACACATCTGTTTGGATGGCTGACAGGACCTTTCTCAGTTTTTTTGGTTTTGGTTTTTTTTTCCCACCACTTCTATATGGTCAAATCGCTGTTCTTTCACATCACTCTCCATTCTCGGAAACAAAAAGTCACAAGGAAAGGTCAGGGAAGCCAGGTGCATGGAGCAAGAGAGACATGCTGTTTTTTGCCAAAAACTGGCACACAGATAGCTGGGTGAGCAGGTGCATTATTGTGATGGCAAAACCAATCCCCCATGTGCCACAAATCCAGCCTTTTTTACACACACTATGACACAATTTTTCAGGACCTCTAAACAGAAAGCTTGGTTAGCAGTCTGACCTGTGGAACAACAAACTCCACATGCACTACAGGTCCACATTTTCATCCATTTCAGAAGTTGACGGATGTCCAGAATTAGGTTTGTCATCAATCAGCATTTCAGCTGTCTTGAAATGAGAAACCCACTCATACACTTGAGTTTTCCCCCAGCACTGTCCTTCTAAGCTCTGTTCGACATCACAACAGTTTCTGCAGCATTTTCCTTGATCAGACCACAAAATCTCACAGCCACACATTGCTCACTGAAATCGGCCATCAGAAAAAAAATGAGTTTCAAGCAAAAATGCTTTCACAAAAAAAAATTCACTGTGACCAGAGAGAAACTTCCCCGGTGACGACGCTGGGTGCCCTAACTCAGAGTGAGTTGCTTGATGCTTGCCTAGTGGGGAAATGTGTACTACGAAAGCCCCGCCCAGCAGAGGCTTTTTTTCCCTTTTTATTTTTTTGGAGTATCCCCTCATATAGTGTATGGACACTATATTAAATGAGGCCCTCAGAGACACTTGTGTTCACACAGTACACCTTCCTGCAAGTGAACAGGACCCAAACACGCCCTCTGCTCTCCTGCAAAAGGGCAGGAACAGGTGACGAAAGAAACTGGTTGCCTCTGGCATCTTTTCTAAACTGACTGTCACCTGTATCCCCAAGGGGACTTGAGGGCCTAGGGGAGGGGGGGCGGCGCAACACGGCCTGCAGCTGGGAACTTGAGCCAGATAAGCAAGTGCCAGAAATGCTAAACCAGTGCCAGCACGAGGCTAAATCCTGGGTAAGACCATGCAGAGTCTGAAATACCCTGCGGCCCTCCATGGCAGCAGAGAGAGGGTAGAGGCCACTACTGCGCTGTTCGCTGCCACCAGGGCATGGAGCATGTCCCATGAGCAGGCTGGCTGCTCCCAACCACGGAAGCCTAATCTCTCAGTCATTTTTCAAGACCCCAGGGATTCCTGGCTGCGCCCCAGAGAGTGACAGGTGAGTGGTCACATTGTCCCAGGTGTGCAGCCTCTAAGCCCGAAGGCGCCTCGTGAGCAGACTGTGTCACCGAGTGAGATCAGATGTGAGCTCCTAGGTGATGGACCCAGAGGGCCTGAGAAAGCTCTGTGTGACGGTCATTCTGCTCGAAGAAGCTGGGGAGGGCCAGGATGGGGTGAGCTCTCCCCTGTGCTCACAGCATCATTGAGGCCTTGCACCCTGTGAGGTTGTGACAATGCCCATTTTACAGATTGCCGCTCAGATGCCTAAAGAGAAGGGACTGCTTCTTTGGGATCTCACAGCTATGGGGTATGCAACTGGCATTCAGATGCCGGCCCCTCCGCCAGAGCCATGGCTCTGCCCCCTTCCCACTGCCTCCTGCTGCCTCCTAGAGGCAAGAGTGGGCAGACGTGGCCAAAGGGGGAGATTTTTCACAGCATGAGACCTAGAACAAGGATGGTGTTCTGGAGAGAAATCGTGTCGGGGAGTGGGTGACCAGGAGGGACACCTGCAGACAGATGCAGTGGCCAGAGTTGAGGCTGCATCGTCCGGCCACCATTCGGAAACTTCTGTCGTCAGGATCACTGCTCCAGCCTCTAGCCTGCCCATGCCTCTCTGCCACCTGCCTTGGGAAAGGTGGGCCTAAATTCCAGCAGCGTCCACCTTCAAGGGCAGCCCTCTCCTCCCTCACAGCCCTCATGACTCCCCGCCCATGTCTGTACTGAAGTACTGACCATCTGTTTACCATGCGGTCGGCCTCCCCCAGCACCCGTCCCCGGACCCAACCCTTAGAGTCCGAAACGAATGGGAGTTGTGTCTCACTTCTGCCTGGATTCCCAGGGTCTGTGGAATGAGACCTGCCACACGTGATTCCATATGTGTAACCGCTAAGTAAGTTTCTATCAAACCTAATGGGCCTCCAGGACACACGAGTCTGCCCACTGGTCAGTCTTATCAGGGGATCACACGTCAGAGGCTGACGCTTCCTCCCTCAAAGTGGAGTCTACCAGAAAGCGTGAAGTGGACACTTGCTCCTTTACGGCTTCTGTGCTTTCCCCGGCAGAGCTGTGGGTGCTGGCTGAGACAGATGCAAGGGCATCCGTTCACTGCCCGCCTTCCAGCACTGCAGGACTTCAAGAACGCAAGCCCAGCGCTCCTCCTGACCCCCTCACCTAACCCGTGACAGCTGCCACCGCGACTCCCCTTCTTCCGATGGGAAACCCTTTAGAGCCAGGGTATTAGCACCGACCAAATCAGCAGTTTATTATTTGTTGAGCACTAACCCCGGCAGCAAACCAAGTGGGAATTATAGCCACAGTGCACAAGGCTATGTGCTCTGGGATAGCCGCGTTTTCATTTTGTATCACATTCCTGAGCGATTCTCTGCAAAGCGGGGCCTGCGCTGACCTCCCCACGTTGGGACAGATTGCCTGGCTGGGTAAATCTGGGAAAATTCTTGTTGCTTGGGATGGGAATGTGACCCTGTGACTGGGCGTCCATGACAGCCAGGGGTGCGGGTGCACCTGCGGGGTCCCCCCTCCTTCACAGCGGGACTGGGATCCTGCCTCTGCAAATCCACCCAGGCCAGGCTCTGTGGACCATCTGGGCTTCCTCCTACGGGCTGCCGTGTGAAGGCCTGTGCACCTGCAGGCAATTAGGGCTCTGGGGCAGGCGCCCCAGCCTAAGCCAGCTGGGGTGACCCACTACAGTGCAGGAGTCGCTTGTCACTGGTCCGAGAGGCAGGTGAGCGTGGGCGTCCAAGGGACCCAGAAGCACAGGGCACCCACCACCATGCAGGGTATCGCCAGCCTGGAAGGACGAGCCAGCCAGAGGCAGAGCCGAAGAGGAGGAGTGGGGGCGGTCTGAACAACCCGTTCCTGACACTTTATGCCTTTTGGTGGCACGGGGTTCCAGCACTTCTTGTACCCATAAACTTCTTGTACCCATCAACTAAGCTCATGAAAATGCAATCCCTTCTTCCAAAGAGACCCCTTTATTTAGCTAGCGGTCATGACCAGTCGGAGCCAAAGTGGGCGAGTTTTCTTGATCTTTCACTAGGCAGACAAGCCCCCAGGAACCCGCCACTGACAGGAGCCTGGTGGGCTGCCATCCCTGGTTAAAGGATGAGTCAGATTCCAAACATCCCAGAGTCGGGGACACCCAGGCCTCCTGGAAGGCAGGCTGCCACTGTCTTCCACCAGCCGTTGTGCTCCCAGACACATCGAAGGAGGGGGCCGGTGCAGTTGCTTATTTCATCTTGTGGGGTGGGGGGTGAGGGTGGGGGAGTGCCGTGTGAGGGCAGGGAAAGCAGAAGGTCCTACTGTGACAAAGAAAGGTCACAGGCAATGTCGCCCAGAGGGGGAGCTTTGAACTTGCCTCGCACAGGGCTGCTTGGAAGTGACCTGTCAATCATGCTGCTTGCTCTGAGACCCGAGGGCTGCCCTGGCCCGGCAGAGGAAGGAGCTGGGGTTGGCCTTCATGTCCTG